GTAAATACTCATAGCAGTGAGATTTAAAAGAAAAGGGACCCTTTACTTTAGCCTATGATTGCCAGAAACATGATTTTTAAAAAAAATCATTAAAATTTAAATTACTTTAATTATTTCAAAATAAAAAAGCCTGCAAGCTTCTATAAGAGTGCATTGAAAGAATGCTAATGAACGTTGCTGTTAAAATTGTAGCTTTGAAGACTTTAAAATCTTAAAAGGGTATAACTATAAAGGCATTAGTATGCAACCTCCAAAATGTTTAAAACAGGACCAGATGTAGCTGTGAGGTACATCTAAAGCATTAGTGGCTTCCTTGAAACCATTTGATAGTTTGGTATGAAAAATTATATTCAAATTCATATGGATATACTTTCAAATTTTAAAAAATGAAGGTAAAATATCTCTCTTGATTACAACATGCAGCTTTGTTTGGCAGCCATATTTTTTACCATTGTCTTCTTCTGATATATATTCCAATTTGGCCTACAGCCCTAGATTTCCTGATGGTGTCCCACCAAAACAGCGATCAGGTCCAATCCTTTAAGACCAGATCCTGCCACCTGCATACAGGCAAAATAATGCCATCTGACATACAGTCGAAGATTCTAAATGGGGACTTGATTTGGGATACATTTTATCACTTTTCTTGCCAAAAACACACAGTACATTATACTGCCTATTTTATTGCAATGGCACTTGGCTATGCATTTGAGTTGTTAATGCTCTTTGAACCTAATGACAGCAACATACAGTATGAACATGTTCCATCATCTGGGAATGAAAACTTCCCATTCATATGTAAACTCTGTATACCTTTTAATTATTAGTGGAACTGAACTGCAGGGGGCAATTATTTTCCTGGAGCAGAATCATCAAACTGTAAACAGCTCCTGGATTTGGCTTCTTAGTTGCCGCTCAGCAAACCCATCGTACCACATTTTGGCCTTCCTATCGTCTGCTGTAGGTGTGCTCAGTATATAAATATCTCATTGCAACAGAATGTTTCTGGATTACCGTTGAGGGAAATTATGATAACCAACTGAGTATACTTTCTACAACAGTTTAGTTCAGGGGTATCTGCAGGGTGCAGACACACATAAAAATGTGTGTCTATCTATCGCACTGGCATAACTACCACCTTGACTTTTTTTTACCACACCCTGCGAATATCCTTGATTTGTTACAAGTAGCCAGTAAACTAAATTTCAATATGGCCATGTATCATAAGAAAATGTACAGGAACAAGCATGGCCATAGAAATATTAAAAAGAAGGATGCATATGAATTCCCATTTTTTCCATTGTTCATTACTAAGTTAGAAAGTTATGCTTTGTAGAACATTAAATCTGCCTATCTTACATTAGACTACAGGACTGTTTATGTATTTGGGCAGCAATCTGAAAAACTGCCTGCTGTACTTAGTACAAAAAACTGTTCTCTAATTTTCTGGCTATGCTGATTGCATTTTGCAGTCATTCCTCTAAAATGGTATAGCTGTGGGAGGACGCATAAACTGTATTTTCATATCAGTAATTATCATTTGACTATGCAACTTCCTGTAAACAGATTGATTCCTGAATCAGCAGTAGATTGGGCTATTCTGAGGCCTTCTGTAAATAAATGGCTGCTAATACCCCCTAAAGACACAAACAGAGTAATTAGAAATTTGATATGGGGACTATAACATTTTGCAATCGCTTCATAGTTGTAAATACTCATAGCAGTGAGATTTAAAAGAAAAGGGAAACAATCACAAGACTTGCTTTAGGGGAAAGATGTTGTTACTTTCCTCCTTGTCTTTTTCATTTCATGTCACCTTGCTCTGAGTGATGTAGTGCTGCTTCATGAAAGGTATTTTTTAAATTGAATACAGTCTTCTGAACTCCCACTAACTACACTGTCTACTATGAATGGCTTTATACCAAAAACAAATTCCAAATGTTATTGTTGAAAGACGGAATGAGTAAGATTCGCTCACTGATATTGGGAGTAAGTTTTTCAAAGTATACTTGAGCTTTATTTCTGGATCCTTTTCTGTGGTCAGCACATGCATGTTGGGCATTCACATTAACAATTTCAAAGAACTTTAAATGTTTAATTTTACTACAAATGGAAGTTTGTGGAAAAAGCTATACTTCAGTTGTGGAAGTTAAAGCAAATAAAGAGAATGCAGCAGAAATTTTGCTACTAGACATATACTTATAGACCTCATTCAGATGAAACAACAAACTGCTTTGTTTGGTAAATGTTTGATTTCTTAGTCTTCCCTTTATGTATCATAAGTGGAGATCTAAAGCTTCAATTCCCTTTTTTAAAAATATCTGTACCTTTCTCTTATATCTAAAGTTGGCAGATGGTGCTTTGCTCAAATCGCCATTTAACAAGCCAAGATAGGAAAAACTACCAGATGTAATTTTAGTCAATTTTCCTCAGCAAACTCAATGGACTTACAGACTGTCTCTTGTGCTAATGTGTTAGCTCTTGCCAAAGATTGTTTCCAGATAAAATGAAGATATTTTTTTTCCTGAGGTAAAATGATACTATAATGATGGGAAATGGAGGCAAGATACTGCTTTCTAAAGACATGATTCTGATGTCCTTGGAAGAACAATAGGATATGCATGTGTATATATATGAAAATAATTGATAATTTTATCAGGACTATGTACCTTATAGTAAAATATTTCTAGAAGAGATTGTCCAATGTCTTTTGAATTGTCTGAAGCAGATTTTACAGCATCTGCAGTCAAGTTATTCAGTTACCTTCATAATGTACCTGCCCCAGGCCTTCTTTGAATGCCTTCTCAGAGTGCCACAGACAAATGAAGCATGGCTGCAAGGGAGGCCCTTCTCAGATGTAGAGGCAGCCCCTGCTGCTGTGTCCAGCGCCCATCAAACCAGGCAAAGACGTTCCCACACTCCCAGGCTTTTTGGTAGTTTTGTATTAATTTGATTCTACGTGCTCATTCTCTACCGAAGGAAGGTATTTTAAGAGAGAGACAGAGAGATTGTTTTCATTGTTTTTCTATTTTTTTTTAAAGTACATTTTTTGTACTATAAAACTATATGGAGCTATCCTTATGATCACTAGGAGTCAAGCTGTAGTCAAGGAAGTATTATCTTACCTATTACAACGATCAGTTGCTGATTTTTAGCTGTTTATTCATTGTAGCCCCTATATTATTCTCTGAAATGTTGCCTTCTGCCTCATTTGAAATGTATATTCTGCATCCTTCTCAGTTCTACATGGCTTATTGTTAAAAGAGATAGCTACAGATTACCCCATGAAGGCATCTGCCTACTCTTTCAAAGGCAGCAATGTAGTTCATGAAGAGATAAAAGCAGTTTCTCCATCCTTCCTGTCTTCGGAGTCTACTCCTTTCAGTAAATATATATCACTGTCCCCAAACTGTCCCATGTTCGCAGAAGTTGTTAAACTTCTGGATTTTTTTTTTTTTTGGTACATTAAATTGCAGCAATGCAGTATAAGAGAAGAATCATGCTAAATTATCCCATGAAGTCCTTAGTACTTTCATTCTTCATAATGTGCTGATTTAGAGAGCATCAAGATTAAAATGCACATAAAGCACCTTCTTGTATAACATTGGTAAAAGTTTAGTACAAATTACTGGATAGAATTATTCTCAGATGGTAGGAACATAGATGTAGCCAAAATCTTTCTTTATAGCTAAACTTTTTAAAAGCCAGGGGGGAAGGGACCAATTGGTTGTCTGGTGTCAAGCTATTACAGAGGATGGAAGCCACAGTGGAAAGGCTGGTTCTGTGGTTCCTGCAGATAGCAATCCCAGAGCAGAGACCCAAAGTGTTTCTGTCCTACCCAATTTTATCAGATAATTGTCTCAAATGTTACAAGGAGAAAATAATCTCATAAATATCCAGGACTGAACTATGAAGGTCTTTAAAGATATCAACCAGCACATTGCATCACATTCCTCCATCCATGTGTCACCAGCAATCATTCACAAGTGTAATCAATGCCATCTCCATTGATATCCTGGCCTAGAACCTGAACTGAAATGGATCCAGATCAGCCCCACCATTTTCTCAACAACCTTCCCCTGGCAGGGATGATTGGAAACTGGTCAACAGTTGTCCAGAGTATCCAGGTCGAGCAATCAACCTTGTGCTCTTTTGTGAATCTCTTCCAAAATGTCTGAATTCTTCTTAAACTGTGATACAGATATTCAAGGTTGAGTCTGACCAGTGGAGTATATAATGGAGCTATTAACTTACTGAGATTTGGACACTGTGGTTCTATTAATGCAGCCTAAACTTGCATATAGTACAAAAGAAATGCTTAATATCTAAGCACTTCTTTTGTACTGTATGCAAGTTTAGGCTGCATTAATATCTATTACATGGAATATCTATTAATATATATTTATGTAAAGGGAAATTTGATACGTAACTCCCTCCCTCCCTCCTTCCCTATCTGTTTATCAATCATTCTGTGTTCTGAACTACCTGTTTTTAAACTGTAAGGATTGATACAAAGCTTATATATTCCACTAGGATGCCATAGTCATACATGAAGTTTATGAAGAAGGAGCAGCTGCTAGAGATGGTCGACTTTGGGCTGGTGATCAAATTCTTGAGGTGAGTTTCAAGTTTACCTTCTTGAATATTTCTGTTGTCTTCAAGATGATTGGACAGATGTGTTGAAATGCTTTAGGATTAAGAATTTGCTCCAGCTGGGCAGTACAGGGATCCAAAATCCAATATTCTACTCTTTGGGTTCCACAAATACGTAGCGTAGCGTAGCGTAGCGTAGCGTAGCGATACGATACGATACGATACGATACGATACGATACGATACGATACAATACAATACAATACAATACAATACAATACAATACAAATAT